ATACATATACAACTAGGCACTGATATATATATATATATATATATACATATAACTAGGTGTTGACTATCCATACACACTTATGCACACACATATAGCACATTAGTCTAACGCACAACCATATATGTATATGTATATATGTATGCGTATGTATGTATATATGTGTATGTATATATGTATATATGTGTATGTATATATGTATATATGTATGTGTATATATATAACTGATACAAGGAACAAAGGTTATACAACGTAAAGAAAATAAAAAAAAAACTGACGCGTCTGTGGAGAGCCGAAACACCCCAGAGCAGCAACTCTGGATGCCGGAGGTGAGGAAAAGTGCTTTTATATCCCGATGGCCATAGATCACAAAGATTGCATGAAACTCTAAAGGGGGTAAGGTGTTCAAAGATTGAACGGGGGACCAGGGGTGTTGCATTCTAGTGGCGCAGTGGTCACTTACGCAGTTTTTAATAAAAAGCAATAAATCATTGTGTGACACTGCGCTGGAAGTGTGATACCATCCGGTCTGTTCCTGAATGCTTTCACTTCTTGCTGTGAGTGATTATTGAGTGAAGAACTGAAGAAGGAGTGTTTTCGTTCGTTCAAGCCAACAGCTTAAATAAGTTTACGGGAAATCCGAAAAAACTGCCGTTAGGTTGGAGACGGATTGTTAAAGGGTAGCACACTGTTTTAAGCATTTTAGATCGTTACTAATGCCACAACAAATTGGAGTAATGGCCGAAGGCACAGTTCGTACAAAGAAACCAGCAACAGTGGATGAGATGAATTTGAAATCTGTACGGCGATTGGATCCATGTGCAGTGACAATCATTGATAAGGTTTTTCCTTCACTTATAAAAAAAGCATTTTTTTGAATGGTATTATTACGATCAGGGTTTTTTTTTTTTTTTAAGAATGGAAAATCTTCCTACACATTTTTTAGGTGTGCTGTGTATAGCGACCTTTATGGTTGTGCGTTGGACTAGTGTGCGTGCTTTATGTGTGTGTGCATGAGTGTGTGTATCTGTGTGTGCATGAGTGCATGTGTGAGCAGTTAACACCT